CAAAAGTTACAGTTTCCTGCAAAATCATCTGGTCCCCTGAGCACTGGCCTGATATCCTGTTTCAGGCTCCTTTCCCTTGTTCCAATGGAGCCACCCTTGTGTATGCTAAACACACAGGCACAGCAGGACAAGCTGCTCCCCCTCCTCCTTTTTCCTTCTTACGCCATTCTATAAGCTAGAAGATGGACACCTGCTGGAGACGGCTGTCACATGTGACCTTATACTGGACAAAAAGTTCAGGGAAGTGGAGCCGTTTGCAAATATGATTACTAAGTGTTTGGGTAAAAAAGAAATACCGTGCAGGGTAATGTATATGTCTGATCTGGATTCATTACTGAAAAAAAGATTGTGAATTTAATGTTATGAGTCTAGCTAAAAACAGGCAAATATGTCTCTGTCTTCTTAAGAAGACATTTCATGTCAAAGCGAATCTTTATATGCAAAAGGTCATGAGTTTCTATGATCTGTTCCTTATGATAAGGATTACTACCGTATGTAGAACAAGTAAACATTCACTTAGCAACCAAAATATATCAGTTATCCTAGCATACGATAATATGACTCCTAACAAACATATGTGACTGATCAAACACAAAGAAATGAGATGCGGTAACCTAACAATTAATACAATGACACTCAGCATTGAGACAGGAGGGGGGGATGGAGTTTTATTACTATTGATTTGTGAAGTTTCTGTCCATCTGGTTCATTTAAGTTCACCTATTGTGAATTCTAGCATCAGGGGAAAATCAGCTCTAAATCTGTTTATTCTTAAATCAATATCAAGCCCGTTTACAAGGCATGTATGTCTCTTTATATCTGCAAAAATGGCCGTGGTAGCTTCCAATTCTGATCATCTCAATGAAAAGCCAGCCATCTTAATGTGAACTACGGTACTGCATGTAAATGATAGGATAATGGCATGAATATAACAACGTGCATCATGTCTTCAAAAAGAAAAAACTAACCACACACAAAGAATGACCTTTTTTTTTTTAATAGAACACTCTTTATCGGACATCAAAAACATGAAATGTTTCATCTAACCACAAAACTACTGTAAAATGACATTTGTCAAAGGGTCAGCCACTTCATACAAATCTAAGCAGATGTTTAAGGTCTATTTATAGCACTCATCCCCCATCGTACAAACTATTACTGAAAACAAAATACAAGGACACTGCTATTTACATTTTCTTGATATTTATTTCGTTTGAGTAGCTGATTTACTAAAACTTTCACATATCGCATTCAAGTAAGCCATGCCATTAACCCTTGAGTCAAGAGATTCAACATTTGTCATTGGTGTCCTTTCACTGTTGCCCACTTCCAGTACAATTCCCATTGTAAACCAATGTTCACATTGACAGATATTATAAAGTATAGGTACATTACTTATAAGCATCAAAAAAACAGGATGTGTGTTAGCATGGTATGAAGACAATAGTGTATTCCTTGACCTAAACACTATCCTATGAATGCAAAACATATATGCTGCTGATTTTTATAGTTTACCATTTCTTTAGAGTACTGTTGATATTACTTTATACATCTATTAGGCGTAAGGCCCCTTTCACACAAGTGGTCCGATCAGGTCCGCCAAGACAGTTTTTCATGCGGACCCGTTCGGATTCCCAATGCTAGTTTTTGGGCAGTCGAGTGTAAACGGACCGGCATCAATTTACACCCGGACCTGGTCTGAAAGAACGGAACACTGTTCAGTTTCAACGCACCTGATAGTGCCAGCCACTATCAGGTGTAATAAAGTCCCCATATACCGACATGAGGTTCTGCAATTTTAGTTCTTTCCTCCATTGCAAGATGGAGAAAAAAAAAAAAGAATACGGACGTACACGGATGTTACAACGATGACATCCGATCTCAAGAAGATCCATGTGCAAGGGGCCTTCAAATCAAAATGTATTAAATATTTTATGTCTGTTTCATAGTTTCAGTTGTGATCTGTAGATATTACTATGGAGCTCAGCGACAAATATTTATTTCAGTATACAATTATTTTATTTTTTTAAACTTTTATTTCTTTAAATTATGTCATGCATAACAAAAACAAAAAAAATTGATCTGCCAACATAATAAAAATGACTATACACGGAGAGGGTCTAAAAGTGAATCTGTGGTTTTTAGGCCGTGACCACACGTGTGATTTCTAAATTTTATAGGACTAAAATTGTAAGCAATTAATATTCTCCACTGAAACCCAAAGGGCAATGGAAGCAAGTTAATTTGTGATGTTAGTCGCACAATCAATTAATTGATTGAATAACAAGCAGCACATCTTCCAAATCACACAAGAAGGACTGCCACAATGTTTCAGTGTTGAGTTCAGTTTGTTGTATTGTAATTAAGTTTAATGCAATTTTTTTTTGATCTGAGATTTTTTGCTTGTTTTTGTTTTGAGCCTGGACATTTCTCCCAGGAAAGCTCTCTTTAAAGAAGAACTTCAGGCATAAATTTGTTTAACATTTGCATTGGGGATACCAATGCACTGCAAGGGGTAAATGCTAATTTTTGTCTATGTGCAACAATAACAAAGAAATACTGACCTCAGAGCTGGCCAGCTGTTACACCATTTCCTCCTGCTTGTATGTGTCTCTGCTCCAGCGATGGTATGTCCCTCAGTGTCCTCACATCCTATACACTGAATGTGATGACTCACAAGACCTTAAAACGCTGCAGTGGAGGGGGAGAGGGGCTCCAGGAACTGGTCTAAAATCAAGCTGGCTCCAAGGAACAGGCGTGTATAACTTTGTCATTTGTGCACCTAGACGAAAACGAGGACTTAACCTTTGCAGCGCAGGGGTAGTCCAATCGCAAAAGGTTAAGAAAAGGTTTGCCCGGAGTTCGGCTCTGTTGCTAAACTAAAACCTAAAAGAAAGCTGCCCCTGTAAAGAAGAACTGAGTCTTACCTCTCCTGGTGCTTATACCGCAGATCTCTACTGTAGCGAGAAGAAATCAATGGCTAAAGACTGTTCAGAAACCGACACTGCCAGGAGTGTAGTGGCCAGCAGATCGAGTGCATGAATCATACACTTTCTGAAATTCGGTGATTTCACATCACAACAGCAGAGGCTGGTGACAAGGGCAGCAGGAAAGGGGAGTATCAGAGTTCTTCTTCTCAGGGCCACTTTAAAAAAATATTTTTCAATCCTGTATAGTCACATGGTATTACATATTTTCTAGGGGGAAAAAAAATATCTATTTCAACATTGTATAACCACATGAATTTGCATATATTAAAAAAGAAAGAAAAATCACTTTCAGTCTTGTATAATCACATGTACGAAATTGTGTAATTGTACACCCTGGACTATGTTCAATTGAATGTGCATGGTCACATAGATTTGCCCCCTGCCACACTTGTGCGGTGCAACAGTGCGCATGAGTTTGATCGTTTTTTGTGTATTGTGAACAGGCTGCTAGTTAATTTCAGTGGGCTGCACTATGAACAACTATTGCACCAATAAAGTCCCTGTGCAATGCAGCACAGCGAAACGCATGGTACTTTGTTCATCAAGAACCGGATAAAATTTGCTCTGTGTACTCTTTTGTCATAGATCCTTCTTCCTGCCCGTAAGCACTTTATCTTTTGTTTCTGTACACCGGGCAGCTTTATATACAGCCTTGGTACAATTCCTTGCTGAAACTAAGTAATTCCTGTGCGCGTGGGAGCACCGGCAAGGCAGCAGAGCATGGACATCGCAGCACTGGAGGGGGATCACTTTGACAGTCAGGACTGCCACAATGTGCCAATATGCTGTGCATACTTAATTATATCTAGGAGCCCTTTTGGAAGACTTTACTTTCACTGTAGCATGCGCATAAAAAACACATTTCTTCTTGCACATGTGCCACAAAAGACACAACAGGGGGCCTACTGTAATCCAACTCCACCTTTGCATGCAATGGCAGTGGACAAAACAAAATTGCATCTGCCATGCATTTTAGCACATGACAACACGCTCCCTCAACACCCCCAGAAACCTCTACTTTATTTTTCATTGGCCAAGCAAAACAAAAAAAATCAAGAATGCATAAAACGCATATCAACTTGGTTAGCATCAAAAAGGCAGGACGGTGCAGATACAAAACGTGTGAACCTAGCCTAACAATTGACTGTGTGGGGCCAGCCCTATACAACCCTGCACATTGCATAGGTCCTGATAAATGTCGATCAGATAGTCTGTGTGCGGTCATCGCTATACAACCCTGCACATTGCATAACTCCTGATAAATGTCGATCAGATAGTCTGTGTGCGGTCATCGCTATACAACCCTGCACATTGCATAACTCCTGATAAATGTCGATCTGACAGTCTGTGTGCGATCATCGCTATACAACCCTGCACATTGCATAACTCCTGATAAATGTCGATCAGATAGTCTGTGTGCGGTCATCGCTATACAACCCTGCACATTGCATAACTCCTGATAAATGTCGATCTGACAGTCTGTGTGCGGTCATCGCTATAGAACCCTGCACATTTGCATAACTCCTGATAAATGTCGATCTGACAGTCTGTGTGCGATCATCGCTATACAACCCTGCACATTGCATAACTCCTGATAAATGTCGATCTGACAGTCTGTGTGCGGTCATCGCTGCACAACCCATAGTTCCTGATAAATGGTCAGTCATCCCTATACAACTCTGCACATATTATAGGACTTGTTAGATGATGATCTGACAGTCTATGTGTGTGGCCAGTATAAGCCTCTGTTGATAGAAGAGAGGAAGTTCACAGCTGAGAAAACACGTGTAGGCCAAGAAAAATACAAGCAGAGAAGCCCTTCCCCCCCCCTCCTCTTTCCAGGATGCATCTCCTATAGTCCTCAGCTTCTGCAAACCCCATCCTGTCTGGGCTGACATACACGCAGCCAGTCCTGGCGCTGAATGAAAGCTTCATGAAGACAAAATGAAAGGACATCAATGTCACCTGTAATAAAAAGAAAAGGCAGGGCCCTGATGGACAAGTGCTTACCTGTCTCCATGTGATTGAGGAATTCCTGGGCTGCCTGCTTCTCATGACTCTGCAATACAGGCTCGTACAGCTGCCTGACTTTGGATCCCTTGGAGTTGAGGCAGCAGCATTCGCTCAGCATGGCCATGCACTCCTTGATGTGCTCCACTATCCTGGATGACAGCCTCCTGACAAAGTTGACAAAGTCTTGAATCAGCTGAGCGCATCTTTCACATAGACGACCCATGGTGATCGATCTGTGTGAGCTGCTACACTGAGGGGGGAATCAAAGCGGACTTGTTCTTATTGCCACAGATAATGGTGGCCTTAGACAGCCATTGCATCAATAATTGTAGAGACACTCGTGTTTTTCTTCGCTGATCATCTCCTTGAAGGATCTGTCTCTGCAGCTGCACAGAGGGCTCAGTGCTAGGAGCAGACAAAGAAATGAAGTCACCGGATCCCTCTGTAGGACAGCTGCAGAATCACAGAGTGATGTAATGCCTAGCCCCGCCCCCCGCTAACAGACTGCCGAACGCCTATTGGATGGAGGTGAGCAAGGCTTGACAGTGCACAACTGGCTCTTCCAGTTCTGCCATGAGTGATCCTCCTCTCCAACAATAATAATATTATTATCCCTCAGTACTACTAGGTTACTGCAGGCACAAAGCTACAAATATGTCCTACTGCCTTATTAGTTCTAGGGGCTCATAATATGGGGGTATAAAGCTGACAGCAGCATCTGCCATGAAAACATGTGTTACAAAAATAAACAGCAAAGTGTATGTTACCCCCACGATGTATTATTTCCTATAAGTGTCTGTATGTCAGTGTAGATGTACGTGGTGATCCTGCCAGTCCCCCTGCTTCCCTGCTGTAATCTGGCAGTACTAGAATAATCATTTATCAAAATAAAAGTTCCGCCTGTAAAGACAACACACAACATCACACAAGCAGCATTGGGCTGTGTCGCCCAGTGCAGTTCCAACTCCAAAACAAGGCAATTTGCAATATGCCCCATGGTTTCAGTTCAAATGAAGGCTCTGCGTTTGCATGCGCTGAAAAAAAGCTAGGTTGCATTTTCACTCAGCGTATTATAACATGCTGTAACGCGTCGCGACACACTGCAGTGCATAGTAAAAGCATAGATACAACAAATGGTTTAAAGAAGAACACCAGGCAGATATTTTAGTAAGCCTTGAAGTGGGGCTACCCCTGCACTGCAAGGGTTAACTGTTAATTTAAAAAAAAAAGTTATACTCACCGATCCTAGGAGCCGACAGAGCTCCCTCCAGCCTGTCTCCTCCTCCGCTACAGCAATGGTATGTCCCTTGGTGCCCTCACGTCCTATACACGGTATTGGACACAATGACTCGAGAATCTGGGACCAGGCTAAAGGTGGCCATACACCTTACAACCAAGGTGTAAGGTGATTAAAATTCCGTACGAACTGCCCATCTTGGACAGGCAGATCGTACTTGCGATCATCGCAAACCCTCCCCGCTGAGGGGAGGGCTTACAGACGATTGCAATGATGATCGGGCAGTGTGCGCCTGTGCACCTCGGCCCGGGCGGCTTTCGTCTTACGAGGACGCTAGAAAACACGCCGAAAATCGTACGATTTTCGTCTGGTTTTCTAGCGTGCTCGTAAGACAAAAGGCGTGCGACCTTACAGTATATGCGGTCGCACGCTGCCCATACACCTTATGATTATCGTACGATTACGGGATCACACGCGAATATCGTACGATGATCGTCAGGTGTATGGGCAGCTTTAAGGTGCCCATACACTGCACGATTATCGTACGATAATCGTATACGATCGGTTTTTCGTACGATAATCGAGCAGTGTGAACGGAGACGTGCGACCGTTTCTACTGTGCGGTCGCACGTTTTCTGTCGAACCAGCATGTTCGAAAACCAGCCGGGAATCGTACGATTCTCGGCTGGTTAGAACGGTGCTCGGAAGACAAATGCCGAACGGGCCGGTGTGCGCACGCGCACACTGCCCGTTCAGCATTGCGGTCATCGGAAGCCCGCCCCTCAGGGGGGCGGGCTTGCGATGATCGAGAGTGCGATCTGCCTGTCCAAGATAGGCAGATCGTACGTTTTTTTAATCCCTGTACAACCATCGCAAGACTAAAGTCTTGCGAAGGTTGTAGAGTGTATGGCCACCTTTAGAGCTGGTCAGCACAGAACAATTGCAATCACATGCCACATGTGCTTTCCGAAGTAAGTTACGGTACTCCACTAGGTCCTGTCGAGACTTGTCGCTGCTCGGAAATACATGGTTCTCTGTGTTTTTCTTTATGTGTGTATATATGTTGGCCCATGCAAGGGCTCATGGTCCGTTCTTTATCTTAAAAGGCAGGAAGTATCCCCTTCTTAGGGTATGCGAAATATCGAGCCATAATACTGATACTTGTTTCATAAAGGTTGGATGTATGCCTCCTGTCTTTGATCAGCACCTGTAACCTCGCTGATTGCAAATAATGTGACCTAGGCAAAAACAAACACTTAACCACTGCAGTACGGCGGTAGCCCCACTGCAAGGGTTAAAGGAGAACTATGAGGCGAGTGAAAATCATTCAGCCTCATAGTTCTAGCCGACCTGTGACAATGAAACTGTCACATGTCGGCTCAATAGATCGGGAAGTGAGCGAACACATACCGGCGCTCGCTCACTTCTCGATCCTGTCCCTGCAGAGAGCCGTGACTGTCACTCACGGCTCCCTGCAGGGATTCCCCCTCCTCCCCTGTCCGATTCTCCAGCGCTGACTGGCGGAACGGACGGGCAAGGGGGCGGGTACAGCTGGCTCTGCCTCTATATAGGCAGAGCCAGCTGTCAATCCCGCAACTGGGTGGATCCAGACAGAACTCACTGCAACCCATGTGAAAACAGCACTGCGGTGCAACGCAATTGAAAACCACATTGCAGCATGTGCAGCAGGACAGGCAAGCATTAAGGGCCAGTCCACACTAAAAAAAGCAATACCGGCGCCCCCGGTTTGCAGAGAAATCCGGCTGTAAAGTTCATTGGTACACCATAGAGGCAGCTCCCACCGGTCAACAACGACCATCGATCTGGGAAACAAAAGCAACACAGAGCGCCTCCATAGTGTAAAATTTTTATTTTATAGGTACAACACGCAAGTGAAAATGTACTTACACGAAAGCCAATGATCATAAGCGTAAAAGAAACGATAAAATATAAAATCTCCAGCAGGGGAAGTCTGAGGGGATCTCCAAATCAGCGTCCTCTGCTCCCGTGTGTTTAAAAAGGTCTACTTGGTAGATTATTACATGCAATCAATAAAACAAGGATTGTACATAGAACAATATCGGACCTCTGAAAAGTACAAGCATGCATATGTACTCAGTACTTGGTTTGGGCCCCTTTTGCAGCACTTACTGCAATTACTTTTGCACGATATTCTAATTATTCGAGTTTCACCTGTAATGGCTAGGGTGGCTAAATAATTTGTTGTAGAATTGTAATCATGCCACCCTCTGCTCCTTGATTTTTAAGATCTGGGGGAGGTAATCAGTGCTGACCACCTGCTGACCACCAGACCACCCAAGCACAACATATTACCCATTTTTGGGGGAAATATAAAAGATGAGGTTGTGTTGAGTAAATGGATACAAAACATATCAAGCCTTATAACTTCATGCTTCTGTGAAATGGTGCAAACTACGGTACCCTAAATTGTCCATAGGAAACCCTGAAATCCCTTTAGGTCATCAATTTAGAGTTAACAGTGAATGATGGTCCTAGAATGATTGCTCTCATTCCAGCTTGCACGGCAATACCTAAGGTGCAATTAGACATTGAAATTAAAATTTGTTTCGTCTCGGATGTTTCCTTATTTAATTTTTTAGGATTCAGGACTGAAAGTCAATACGTTTCAGCATACAGGTGAATATGACATTTTTGTTAATTTCGGATGAGTTAAAAACAATAATTATGTTGCAGAAAAGTGACATTAAATGTTTACTTTTTTGTTTTTAACTTTAGACAGTCCAAGAAAAAAAAAATAGCGTGCGGTTCCCTTTGGCAATTCATACCAGACCCTTTATGTCTGGTAGGTATTTTAGGGGTAACCCCAACGCCAATTCCCCCCCCCAAAAAAATGCATGGGAGCCCCCCTAAAATCACATACCAGACACTTAATCCAAGCAGCAGACTGACAGTACGGGGGGGAGCATGCACCCCCCTCTTGCACCATACCATACCAGGCCACATGCCCTCTACATGGGGAGCCCCTGGCTAAGCACCTTATCCCCATGTCAATGAGGACAACTGATTTTTCCCTACAACCCTAATCTGGTGGTTTGGGGGCCGGCAGGCAGGGGGGCTCAAAGGTATCAGGCTGTCTCCTTTCATTGCCCTGTGTAAACATTTGGGGACGCCCCTGTTTACAAGTAAGGATAGAGAGATGAATATCCCTAGTAGGTTCAAAGGGTGGCCTGTGAAGAGTCGGCAGAACCAGGTTAAGATGCATGAAAGTCACTGGGGAATGTACAGGAGGAACAATGTGAGGGAGACTCTGTATGAAGGCATTTACTGAGAAGAGGGCAAGCTGTCACTGAAAAAAACCCACTAAGGCTGAGACTGGACCCATCATGGTGTGCAGAGCCAAAGCTGACCCAGACAAGATTAGAAAAAAAAACAGAATTCTGTATGGTGAACTTCCTGGGATGGAATTTCCTTGTTTGGTATCAAGAAAAAATACTGTTTTAAAGTGTGATGGAAGACCTTGCAAGAAATCAATTTCCTAGATTTCAAGGGATAACCGAATCTGATAAGCCCCTGTCAGCAGCCAAGTGTTAAAGCCAGCGTTCAAGGACCAGGATGGTAAGCCAGTCCCTTGGCCAGTTCAGTGCAATGAGAATTAATAGAATGCCCTCTATTAGGATCCTGCAGAGCAGGCATGGAAGGAGGTGTTGAGGAGGAAAAGCATAGATCAGGCTAAACTGATCCCATAGAACAGTGCAGAGAAAGCCAGAGGATGCCTGAACCTGGCGGCAAATTTGTCCAGTTTGCTGTGGAAACTGGAAGCGAGGAGGTCCACGTCCGGTGTCTCTCACCCATGACAGAGAGCCCAACTCCAGGCATTGAAGACTGAGGCAGTCTACCTGCCAATTTTCCACGACTGGGGTTTGCATGTTCATAACTGGAGCATGAAGTTCTGCCCAAGCAGGATGAAGTTCAAGTATTAGAGCTGAGCTACCTCTGGTGCATCCCTAATGGTTGATGTAAGCCACTAAAGTGGCA